GGAAGTGGTGCTGTGGCTCAGATGGTAGAGCGCTAGCCTTGAGCTGAAGAGATGAGGGATAGTGCCCAGGCCCAGAGTTCAGGCCCCACGACCAGTCCCCCCCCCCAAAAAAAAAATGTGTGGCCAGGTGGTGATGGCTCATGCTTATAATCCTAGCTACTTAGGAGGCTGAGATCTGAGGATTGTGGTTCAAAGCCACCCCAGGCAAGAAAGTCTGGGAGTCTCTTATCTCCAATTAACCACCAGAAAACTGGAAGTCGAGCTGTGGCTCAAAGTGATAGAGCAGAAGCTTTGAGCAAGAGAGCTCAGGGACAGCGCCCAGGCCCTGAGTCAAGCCCCATGACCAATAAAGAAAAAAATGTATGCGGAGGGGGAGAGGGTACTCTGAGGATCTACCAGGGGAAGGCAGGCTGAGAACCTGGAGAGGGTCCCTCCAACGGCCTCCTTTCACCTGCGTACAGAATTCACCCAGGGAGCTTTGGAAAATGTCCCGTCTCCTCCAGCAGTTTGGCCGACACAGGCAGGACAGTGTGATCCAGTAGCTCTCTAGGTGATTCTAATGTGTGCCCAGTATTGAAAACTACCAGGCTACGCAAAGGCACAAGGCCTATGTGCCTCTGATCATATAAAATAAAATTTATCAGAATGAACTCCAGAATAAAGCCCAACAGGCTAAATAGCGGTAGTATCATCTAAGTGGTGTGGACTGGGAATTGGGAGGGGTGTGTGTGTGTGACAGGTCTCCTCAGACACTAAGAAAGGATGTCCTCAGAGGGGCCAAGAACTCCTACCTGGCTCCTCAGTCTATAGTGACACTAAGAGGATGTTCAGTCACCTTAGAGGCCGTGATCAGCATATCATATATTTTTGTTTGGCCGTCAACTTCATTTTTCCCCCTAATTCTTTTACTTAAAAAAAAAATCCTAGCCGGGTGCTGGTGGCTCACGCCTATATCCTAGCTACTCAGGAGACTGAGATCTGAGGATCATGGTTCAAAGCCAGCCCCGGCAGGAAAGTCCGTGAGACTTATCTCCAATTAACTACCAGAAAACCAGAATTGGTGCTGTGGCTCAAGTGGTAGGGTACTAGCCTTGAGCTGAAAAGCTGAGGGACAGTGCCCAAGCCTAGAGTCGAAGCCCCATGACTGACCCCCCAAAAAAATAATTCTGCCATGATTCCACTGGGCTGAGGGAACTGGGGAAAAAGGGGGGGGCTGGAGGGTACCATCTGGTTTGGACTAAAATTGTCAAAGGCAGAAGGCAGGATAGAAAGCCAATAGGGATGAGAGCCCTAGGAAGCTCAAGGGGAAGGAAATGTGGGCAGAAGGCTACACTTAGTGTTCCCCACCACTCAGCCCCTAGCAAGGTCTTTCCTGGGGGGTGGGGCCCCCTGAGAGTCCCATCCCAGCAAGACAGGAGAGCTGGAGAGAGCACTGGTGGGCCGAGATCACTGTGGACGGCATGAGTCACTTGCACCCACAGCCCAGTGGCCATGCAAGAGCATCTGTACACATAGGGGCACCGGGACACTGTTCCCCAGCAGTGTCTAGGTGGCTGTGGGCAAGACCAGGGGACAGCAGTTCTCCAAGACAGCCTGCTCCCTATAGGCATTTAGGCAAGAAATGGTTGTAAACAGCACTGTTTACTCAGTAAGGAAAACCCTCTGCCAAGTTCTAAATGCTCCAAAGGCTCAGCATGCAGCCTTTATGAAGAATACAGATACAGAAAATAAGGGAAATCCATCTGCATTTTAGAAAGCTCCCCTCTCCCTTAAGGAGAAACATCATGTGTCCTCAGGGCAATTCAGTCCTTGAGCTCTGGCCCGTATGCTGGGTAGAAGGCACTGTCCAATCGGATGCAGTGTGGGTCTGTCTCCTGAGAACCTGGAGCGGCACCCCTGCATCCAGTGCATTAAGATCCCTGACTTCGGTAGCCGCCCGCCCGCCCACCTGCCTGCTCGTCAAGGAGGCCAGGGCTGCTGCAATCACTGCCCACATCACCCTATCTGCTCACTGGGACAACAGAGGAGTCCTGGAGTCTCTGTAGGAGCTGTTTCTGTAGATCTTCCTCCATCACCTTCCACCAAAAGTAGTTCTCACTCCGAACCTTTGGCGGCTCATCTTCGATTCCTGGGTTCCGAAAAGCCACGGTCACCAGCACATTCATGCAGATACCGTCTATATTCTCTCTGCCCAGATGCTGCAGTCCCAGCAAGCCCTTGGTCTCTATTGCCAAATTGTGCAACGTCAGACACTCCTGTAGCAAGCGCAGGATGGCTACCTTAATGCCTCCCCTCTGCTCCATGGGGGTAAAGCCACAGGCGGTGATGGGTAAGTGAGGTACCCCCGTTGTACCCACCAACACCCACACTGTCTGGACACTGGTGAAGGTGGCTACGAGCCGCTGGCAGACCAGACTGCACGGGAGCTCCTGGGGCAGAACAAGGGGATGGCTGGCCTGCTGCAGGTACTGAGCAGCTAACTCTACCACATACAGGACGTCGCGGGCCCGCAGTGGAGCGGGCAGGGACAGCCGAGGGTACCAGCCAGCCTGCAGGGACTCTGCATCTGCTTCCTTGGAAGTCTTGAGAGTTCCACCTAAAGAAGGTGGAAGATGTTTGTGTGTTAAGAGAAATGCCTAAATATGCATCCAGGCGGGTTAGTGCGGAGGCCGCCTGCAGAGGGGGGGGCTCCGCTCACCAGAGGACAAACCAGGGGGGAACGTGGCAATGGACCCCTGTTCGCATGCCACCAGTTGGGCTGTACCTGTGGGGCGAGCGAGGAACACAAAGCGGATCCAGGAGGGACCCCGCTCCTCCACAGACAGCAGAGTCACAGGGTCACAGTGCAGTCCGGCCTCTTCCTTCACTTCCCGCCGCATGGCCTCTATGATGGTCTCCCCAGGTTCCATCCTCCCTGCTGGGAGGTACCAGGACCCCCGGCACTCCCTCTTGGCTTCCTGGATCAATAGCACCTCATCCTGAGGGGGGAGGAGGGGGAGAGCAGAGAGAAATTCTTCACCCCTCCACACCGCCAGGCTGAGAGCTCCAGGAGAGCAGTCCCACAAGCAGCCTGCTTTGCCCTGGGGGCCTTGTTTTCAAAAGCAATGGCCCAAGACTCCCTTCCTGATGGACACCTTCAGGATGTCCAGGAAGTGGATCCCTGGGTGGCCAGAGGCTGCAACTAGCTCCTGTCTGCCTCCCTCTTTGGGTTCAGAGAGATTTCTGTTGTAGGAAATGACCTGAGATCCCTGGGAACTGACAGGGGCAGAGACCGGAGGGGGTGCCACCTGTTAACAGACCCACTTCTGTGTAGGTGGCGGTGTAGCGTCACTCCCTGTGGGGCTTACAAACTGCTTATGGCGGTCTCCACTCTGGCGTCAGAGCTTTGACACTCACTGCCACCGCCCAGACCCCCCTATCACCCTGGTCCTTAGAGTTGCTATCACACTGACTCCTACAGTGAGGAGCACCAACAGGTGCTGGGACCGAGGTGGGGGTGGGGGGGTGGGGGGGTGAGGGGCCAGCGGGAGTGTAAGCTTCCCATTACTATCTGGGGAACCAAGCGAGGTCTGAGAAGCCCTGGGTAGCCATTGCAGGGACTTCTAGGCTGGGGCACCGAACTGGACTAGGGAGGCATAGCTCAGCCCTCCCCTTGGGTTGCTCAGGCCTAGCGGATGGGACGGATCCCCTCTCAGGCCTCGGCCGCCCTCCGCCTCCTCCCGTTTTTTCCGGACGCCAATGTCAGAGTGCTTTGCAACACTGGGGATGCGAGTGCGGCCTGCCGTTGGCTGTTTGCTCGCCGGTCCCCTCGGGGGCTGAGCGGCGGCGCGCGCCCCAGGCCTGGCGGGCGGAGGCCGGCGGG